TTATTGAAGAAAATTTGGAAATCACCTACAATGCATGAGACCGTACCTGGTGAAAGAGGTTTCACACCTCAGAATCCACACACAGAAGGATGAGGCCGTTATGCCTACTGGATAAATGGGGAAGCCGAGCATCAGAGAGGGTGGGTGACGTGCCTGCGGACACACAGCTGCGATGCTGACTCCACTAAAACCTCAGCTACTTCTCAGGGACTTCGAGAAGCATCAGCTGTGGTCCCCGCCCTCTGGGAACCCACACTGTCCTTGCTCTCCTGCCCCTATGCTCAATCTGCATCACCCCCTCTGCCCCTGGAACCAGTTACACAATGGCTTTGGTAAAAAAACACACTTTTTCTTCACATCACAGGTAAAAGCCGGACACCATCCAGTCGATATTTTCTCCTAATGAGCCTTCCCAGTCTCCTTGCCTTTTTAGCATGGGAACGAGCTCTCTGCTGCTGTCCGCTTCATATTTATCTGCTCTGCTCGCTGGCAGAGAGGAAGGCGAGCGGGCATTGTGTACATAAATATCGCCGAATCCACAGAGGGCTGCAGCCGAGTTCTTAATCCCGGCTCCATCACTAACAATTTGCAACCTAAAGAAGTCACTCTCTCTGGCGCGCTCGTCTCCGAAGCACGTAAAGGATAACACATTAAAAAAATCAATTGGCGTTCTGCGGAAAAGGGGGAAGGAAACTCTTAAGTTGGCTTAAAAGACCTTCCCCGAGATTTTGCTGATGTGGGAGATGGATGAAAGCCTGTCGCCACCTCCCTCCCATAGTTCTTTGCTGAACTGGGATGGCTTACCTGGTCTCCTTGCCTCCAGGCACTTCCTCTCCCACTCCGGCCCCCCCTAGGCCTGATCTTCCTAAAGCAGAAATCTGGTGAGTCACTTCTGTTAAAACCCTATTGGCTCCTCACTCCCCCTGGAAAGAGTCCAGCTCCTCTGCTCGGTGTGATAACAGCTCTTCATGCTTTGCTTTGTCCTTCCCTCCTTGCTCCTCACCCCACACCCCGCTCTGTATGCACAGTTCCCCCAGTGGGCCCTCAGCTTCATGCCTCAGGGTCTTTGCACATGCTCTTTCCTTCCACCACTAGCATCAGGTATTTTCCGGCAAGGCCCCTGGAAACCCTCCCTGCCCACCAGACTTGAGCTCCTCCAGGGCACAGCATCAGTCACCCCTCATATCAGCGGGCCCCCTCACAGAGAGGGATACAAGAATGAGGTGCACAGGTGCAAAACCGAAAGCTCTCTGCACCTCCAGGATGCGCCAACTCCGCCAACAGATTTGGGTCAGGGTAACATGCAGGTCCATCTTGGGCTCAGTCGAATCTGTGCTTACTGACACTCCAGTCTGGGACAGGACTTTTTAGTCTTCAATATTCCACTTAAAAGACACAACATTTGAGCACTGAGATGAATGCATTTTATCACAGACATGACGCAGGTTGCCGCCTGCCCCCAAGCCTCCTGGCAGAAGAAGGTCTAACTGTGCACCTTCCCAGCCGTGGGAATCTCTGGAGCCGGCTCTCAGGGCTGGAAGTGTCATGGTGAACCACTGGCTCTGTGACAACATCGGGGGCTGTTGTCACAGAGCCAGTGGTCCCGCACCATCCACCTCTGGACAGAGACCCCAACCAAGGAAAGTGCCCGAATGTCACAGAGGCATCGTGCTGGAACTGTTACATCTCTGAACACCATCTCCAAAGGCGCCTCCTGCTGTGTCCCCTCCCACTGGGCTTCCCTGTGCTCTGATGGCTGAAGCAGAGCAGTGTCAGCAGGCAGCCAAGGACATGCGAAGGGTCAGCCTCAGGGAGCCAGGGAGGGGCCACTCCCCGGGAGGAAGGAAACCCCGAGGGCAGTGAGCAGAACTCTCCTCGGTCCTGAAGGAGCCAGCAGCTCTAGGTTGTGGCTGCGGCAGCGGGGAGACCCTGGCTGGGTGCTCTCTGGGTTCCGCTGGGCGATAGAGTCGTGTTGGCTCAGCTTTCTCCTCCGTGGGTCATAGATTTAGGGCAGGTCCTGAGTCCCACCCAAATCCGAACCCTGCCCACCCCCCCAAAGTCCATACACACAGTCCATGAACATCTGAGTCCCGGTGCTGGGAGCCGGAGAGAAAGTAGAAGACGGGCCACCGTAGTCATGGCCCACCTCTGAGGGCCAATGAGCCAACCATGCCCGGGGCATGCCAGTCACTCTGCCCTCTCAATCTTAAATGTCACTTTCTCAGAGGTCTTTCCTGAGCTCTTTAGGGAAGTGCAGTGTTTTGGGGAAGTAAAGTGATTAATAACCATTTTCTATGTTTCCAAAATTGTGCCGGGCACTACCAGGACATAAAGCTCGTTGTCTGGCATCCTGCAGCCTTTGAAATGGAATCCATTCCTTCCAGTATGGCCCTGCCCACCTCCCCTCTTCCTGCTCGCCTTTCCCCCCCCAGACGGCATCTCTGCTGAGCTGCAGTTCCTTGGCTCTCCAAGCTTGTTCACGCCTCAGGGCCTTTGCACTGGCTGTCCTTGCAGCTGGATGTCCCCCAGATGGCCACGTGGCTGTCAGACCTTGCAATGTCACTCCTCTCCTCACCAAACCTAGTCACCCTTCAAATCACCCAGCACTCGGTCTGAAATTCTCTCCATCGTTTCGTTATTATAGAACCAATTATTGGGGAATCTGGACTCAGTAGCCCCCAAGCCTAGACCATCTTACTTTTTCTAGTTTCATTTGGTCACACCCGGCCAAGTCCCTCTTCTTGCTGGGCCCTCATGACAGGCTACTCTGAACCCATTTCTGGCACTGTTTGCTGTTAAAGCTCAGATCAGGCCAGCTCAGAGCTCTAAGGTGTGCCTCCAAGCTCCTCTCTAGAAGTGGGGAAGGCGCAGGAGTGTCCTCTTTGTGGGTGCCTCCTATTGCTGTGGTCTCCCTGGAGATGGGGTTGCCTGGCTGTTTTGGGGCTGAGGCTCCTGCGTGGCTGGCATTTCCCAGGAAGTGGACAGTGCACCCCCAACCCTGCCAGCAGGATGGCGTTTGACCTTCCCGGGCGAGCAGCTCCCTTTGCCCAGGGCCTGAGGAGCCCAGTGACTCCCTGTCCTGTGGCTCCGTATGAGGTGGGGTACCTGCTCTCCCTGCTGCTGGTGCAGGCTTCCCCCCATTGAGCTCCCCAATTCCCAGGCTGCACGCCAAGCTCCCCCAAGGACACCCCACACCCTGTGCCTGCAGTTGGCACCAGGTTTCTGCAGATCAGCGAGCATCCAGCTGGGGCACGAGGTGCCAGCCTCCTCCTCTTGGCAGTGGCCTCTCTCGGGAACCTCCTTTGCTGGGTTCTGGGGGTGGGGCAGGAGCGGGAGCGGTTCCCACTCCCCAGCACCACGTGACCACTCAGTGTTCTTACACGGACAGGGAACAGCAGGAGCGAGGGGTCGGGGTTCTAGGGCAGGGACAATTCCACCCTCTCCTGTTAGGCCACAGGCACGGTACCTGGCCCCGCCTTTTATGGTTTCTTTAGGGAGAGGGTTACTTAGGACCCCTCTCTCCACAGCTGTGGTTCCCAGTAACCAATCCCAGGGCAACTGGAAGTGGTCCATCCCCATTCCCCCCGCTCCCCCCACCCCAGGTCTCCTTGGGTTTTGGTAGGTCTCCCTTCTAGAACACGTGACAGGAGACTGGCAGCGTGGCATTGCTAGTGCCTAGAAAAACGCCCAGCACGGCCGGCCCTTAGCCTTCCTCTGAGAATGACTCAGTAGGAAGATGGCTGTGGCTGCAGGGACTTCACAGAGAAGTGACCAGAAGAGGAAGGCGGACAGTGGGGCCTGACGGGGATGACACCACGGGCTGATGTCTTTCGCCCGTCATCTCACTGATCGCAATGACCTTGAAGGTCAGCCTAATCACCACCCTATGCAGATGAAAGACCTCCACCTTCTCCAAGCCTGGCCATCTCGGGAGGAGGCAGGAGCGGGGGTGGGGCTGGGAGCTGGCTCTGACGCCCGCCCGAGTCCTGGCTCTGCCACTCCTTGGCTCAGTCACGGAGTTCTCTGCCTCTGGCTCATTTGGAAGGTGGGGTATTAGCTAATACCTGTAAAGTGCTGAGCCTGTGGAGAGACAAGAGGTCATCAACTAACCGGAGCCATTTCCATCACCGTCACTGGGACAAACTGGGTCTGCCTACCCCCATGGCTGGCACCTCTGCCCCCTGCCTCCCACTCCCACAAGGCTGGGGGCCTGGGGACTGAGGGTGAAAGGAGCCGAGGCAGCCTTGGATGCCAAACCTCGGCCTGCAGCCTGATGTAACGGTGAGAGGAACCGCGTGGGCCTTTAATCAGAGGAGTGGAAGCGGTGTTTTAGGGAGATTAATCTGGCAGCGGAGACGGGATGGAAAACAGTCGAGCTCGGTACAGAGAATGATGACTGCTGCCGGGCTCCGAGAGGCGAGAGGCGGGCCATTAAAGGAAAGTGGCCTGGTTCTTGGCTCCCGGGGGGGCCGGGTTCCCGGCAGCTGGGAAGAGCTGGCCCTCAGGAGGGGAGAAACCCAGGGCGGCCGGCAGAGGGCGCTGTTCTGCCAGTGACAGTGGCCCCTGCGCGGCAGCCCAGGCCTCTGGCTAAGGAACAGTCAGCAAAGCCCCGTGTGTTAGACTCAGGAGGGGCCCTCCGCCCCCTGGCAAGTTCCACGCAGAGATCTCAACTGCAGCAGATTGTAAGCAGTCCCAGCACGATGCGGGGATGCTGTCAGGGAAAGGCGCCCCCACAGTGCCAGCCCCCACAGGAGGCCTGCCAGCCCTCCCCCCACTCCGTCCGTCCCCAGCCTGGCTCCCAGGCTGCTCTGGAACCAGCAGCCCAAGTGCAAAACGGCACCAGGCCTGCCCTGGCCAAGAGCGGAAGGAGCTGCTGCTTGTACGTTTTCTCATTTTATTTGAAGCTGTCACAACAGGTGAGGGGGTGAGGGGCCGAGGCAATGCCATCTTCTCTCGTCTCCACGGAGCCGGAGCCACCGCACACGCCCGCAGCGCCAGCCTCACGCCAGCGCGTGGAAAACCTCCAGCTTCTCCCGGTACAGCTGGTGGAACTGCCGGGCCAGGCACTGGAAGGGGGCCTCGTAGTTTTCCATCTCCTTCTGTGGAGACAGGTTGAGGAGGTCGTGCTGTGTGCGGCATCGGAGCCAGCACACACTCTCACTCACATCGGGGCCACGCACACTTGCCTCGTTTCGCGTTCACACCACCTGTGGAGGCTGCTTTTCCGAGGAAACTGTGCCCAGAGCCACACACCTGTCAGCGGCGGAGCTGGGCTTGAACCCAGGTCTGTGCCTACAGAGCCCGGCTTCATCCACTCTCACTCCATGAGACAGGGAGCGAAAGGAGACTTCTTTGGCTCTGACCGAGGCCCCAGAGGCCACACAAAATAACAGACAGCAAGGACCCCACACCCCGAAGGAAGGCAGACAGGATGGACCCCGCCCTACCCCCAAGTCAGGGTTGTGCTGTGGCATTTCCCTCCCAGAGGTCAAGTTCCAAAAGAAAGCCTGAGGCGGGGCTTAGGCCAAGCTGGACCCCGGCCAGGGAAGAATGAAGGTGACTGGGGCTGGCGATTGTGGTGGCCAAGCCAGGGAGGGTTCAGTGGGATGAAGCCTGCGTCTCTGTGCGCCTGAGGCCACAGCCCTTCCCTGGACCAGCGGCTGGCGGGCGGGCCAAGCAGGACCGCCAGCCTGGAGCTGTCTTAACAGGACTCTGCAGGGACCACTTCCAGGAGGGTGGGTCCCCACAAGAACAGCCAGCCAGGAACAGCTAGAACCGGGAACCGCCAGATCCGAGGCTGCAGGAGGGAGAGGAGGGAGCCCAGCCTTCAGGGGTATCACCTGCCGGAGGGAGGCTGCAGGTGAGAGCTCCACTGACGGGCGCAGGGAAGGCCCATCTCTAAGTGTCACAGGGCATCCGGCTGAGACACCTGGCAAGTCCTGAGGGGCCACGGGAGGCGGCAACAGAGACCCAAGCCCCTCATTCCTCTCTCCCCTCTCCCCGCAACTGCAGGCTGTGAGCTGAGCTGGGGAGAGCGCAGGCGCAGAAATGCAGCAGGTGAGGGTGGCGGGGGCTGAGGGGGTAGGTGGTGGTGGTGCAGATGTTAGATCAAATCAGGAATTCTGACAGCCACCGAGGACTGGGCATCTTAGTCACCGACATGGTGTTTTTGTGATTAATGGTGCCCAAAGGACTCTCTCACTGTCTATGTGCACACGCGTTTTTAAAAATTTAAATTAAATTTATTCAAACTGGAAACAAAACAACTAGTTCACCCATTTCTCCCGTCTCTATCGCTGGCAACCATCAATCTGTTCTTGGTGTCTATGAGCTTATTTTTCTTTTAAAAAAATAATCTCACATATTAGACCATACGGCATTTGTCTTTCTCTGACTTATTTCACTTAGCGTAATGCTCTCAAGTTTCATCCATGTTGTTGCAAATGGCAGGACTTCCTTCTTTTTTTATGGCTGGATAATACTCCATTGCATATACTGTATATATACCACAATTTCTTTATCCATTCATCCATCAATGGATACTTAGGCGATTCCCACATCTTGGCTACTGTGAATAATGCTTAGTGAACATGGTGATGAAGACATCTTTTGAAGTTAGTGTTTTCTTTTTCTTTGAATAAATATCCAGAAGTGGGATTGTGGGGTCATATGGCAGTCCCAGTTTTAATTTTTGAGGAAACTCCATATTGTTCACCATAGTGGCTATACCGTGTGTGCATCTTTTAAAAATCTTTTAAAAAGAAATAAGCAGGCAGCAGCTCAGCTAAGAACACACAAGAACCAGTTTTCAAACAATCCCTGGCAGCTGGCAAAGTGCAGCCTCCGTAAGAGGCAATGAACTACCCCCAGTGAACGGCAGAGTTTCCAAATCAAGGAACATTATAGAGTCACTAGCTCAGTGTTTCACGGCCGGCAGCCTGAGCCTGGGGGCAGTGGCCCGATGAGTGTGTGCTGAGCCCTGCAGGGAACTCAGGCTCCCGTAGGAGAGCAGACTGTCTGCCCCGCCAGCGGGGTGACCGAAATGCACAAAGGAACCAGTTCTGGTGGAGACAGTTACCTGGACTTTCCAGCAAAGGGAGTCCCAGGTGGAGGAAGCAAGATGCCCAGAGGAGACAGGCGGCAGGAAGTGCAGAGAGGCAGCAGGAAGCTGGTGGTTTGTAGCCGGGGAGCATCCGCACTAAGCTCTTGACTGCTGAGGGCAGAGGCTGCACCCTCCAGCTGGACAAGAGCACTAACCATTACACCTGCTGGGCACCTTGGTTGTGCAGAGCATAAACTCCTCGGCAATGCAAATGTCAAATAGAAAGGCTAAGCCCTGTTTTACACCATTCACAAGCATTAACTCAAAATGGATTCAAAACCCGAACTTAAGACCTGAAACCAGAAAACTCCCAGAAGGAAACATTGGGAAAAAGCTCCCTGACATCAATCTTGGCAATGATTTTATGGGAATGACACCAAACGCAGAAGTGAAAGCAAAAATCAACAGGTAGGACTACATTAAAGTAAAAAGCTTCTGCAAGAAAACCATCAACGAAATGAAAAGGTAAACCACGGAATGGGAGAAAATATTTGCAAACCACACATCTGCGAAGGAGTTAACATCCAAAATATACAACTCAGACAACTCAATAGCAAAAACACAAATAACCTGATTTAAAAAAAAAAATGGGCAGAAGACCTAAGCAGACATTTTTTCAAAGAAAATATTCAAATGGCCAACAGGCATATGAAAAGGTGCTCAGCATCACCAACCAGGGCTGCAAATCAAAACCACAGTGACTTCTCACCTTGGCTGTTAGAAGGGCTCATCAAAAGGATGAGAAGTAACAAGTGTGGAGGATGTGGAGAAAGAGGATTGTGCGCTGCTGGTGGGATTGCAAACTGGGGCAGTCACCCTGGAAATCAGCATTGCGCTAAGTGAAATAAGCCAGAGAACGGCAAACACCGCGTGATCTCCCACGTGTGTGGAATCTACAAAAACAGACCTCACAGATACAGAGCGACGATTGGTGGTTGCCAATCCAGTGCAAATGGTCAGAAGGTATCCACCCCGTGGCTCAAAGGATTGAGCGTTGTCCCACGCACCTGGGCTTGATACCCAGGAGGGGGTGTGGAGGAGAAAGCCAATTGATGTTTCTCATATCTATGTTTCTATCTTTCTCCCTTCCCCTTCCTCTCTTAAAAAAATCAAAACATTAAAAAAAAAAAAAAAAAAAAAAAGATGAGTAAGTTCTGGGATGGGATTAAAAATAACAAAAGCAAGTCAAGCAAACACGCAGGCCAACCGTCAGGTTTGCCAGACGATTGCACCACATTAAGGACAGAGGAGACGGCCTTGGCGTCAAGACTTGCCTGTGCCTCTGAGTTGTTATATTTCCTGTTTAATTACAGCTTCCTTAACCGAGCTGCCTCAGGGGGGGACTAGTTAACTTGCACAGTTAATACCAAGTGCTTAAACGGCAGCTCTGCAGGCACAATTTATAGCCTCCTCACCCACAGGGCGGCAACAAACACCGGGCAGCGTGCAAACCCACCGCCCCGTGCCCCTGGGGTTCCTTTCTGAGTTCCGTCAGGAGTTCCGGGGAGCATGGCACATAGGGTGAGGAGGCAGTTTCACCAGTGGGGATGTTGGAAGGGGAACGCTAAAGTGTTGTTAGCTGTGGGCAGTACAGCTCAAAGGCGCACTGCGTAAACACCCGTCTACACAGGAAAAGCTTGCGACTTTGAGCTTCGTTAATTTGGCATTTGTGATGACTGGGGCGGAGGCAAGGGTGGCATTGATGTTTGCACTGCCTAAAATTAAAGGATTTAGTAGGTAATGTGGTATAAATAAGATGCCGAGGGAAATATTTACACGTTAGAGAGCTCCCGGGCACAGAGGGTTTGCTGAGCACCAGACTGGGTCTGTGTTCTATGTTCGCCATCTGACTCCACTCTCACGCCTGCTACTCAACGTGGGGCATGGCTTATGGCTTATTATCCCCACCGGACAGGTGAGGGGCCCAAGGCACCGAGAGGTTAGGTAACATGCCGACAATCCACAGCTAGTCCTGCTCTGACCGTGGGAGCTCAGAGCACCTGCCGCGCTAAGCGCTCCTTCACACGTTAAACGCCCGGTCGGTTTTGTCTTCCGGATGGAAAATGTAGTGCCAGTCCCGGTGGCGGACATGGGGCTTACGTGTTAAGGAAGCATGCCTTTGCGGGGGCGGGGAGGAGGGTGTTAAAGTTCCCATCCACAGGCCACTGGACAGCATCGTCTGCCAAGTTTGTAGGTGCAACAGAAGTGCCCGTGGCTTAAGTACATTTTAAGTAAAAACAACCTCCAGCCGAGGCCGGTTTGGCTCAGTGGACAGAGCGTCGGCCTGCGGACTGAAGGGTCCCGGGTTCGATTCCGGTCAAGGGCATGTACCTTAGTTGCCGGCACATCCCGGGAGGGGGGAGGGGGGGGGTGTGTGCGCAAGAGGCAGCTGATCGATGATTCTCTCTCATCGAGGTTTCTAGCTCTCTGTTTCTCTCTCTTCCTCTCTGTGAAAAATCAATAAAATATATTAAAAAAAAACAAAAACAAAAACAAAAAACAACCTCCAGGCTATTTATTAATTAGCCCACTGGCTTTTGGAGCCAAAGAATCTGGTCCAGGGGCCACATGGCCGGGTGAGGTCCATGTTACCACCACCATGTGCCAGGCCTACAAGTCTGCCAGCAATCCCGGCGAGGGCCGCTGCCGGCTCTGTAGAAAAGTGACACACGAGCACGTCTGATTGACACCACCTGGGTCACACGCCTGTGCCCTAGTCACAGGGAGGCTGGGACCTCAAACTCCCAACACAGGAAGGGGGTTCGCTAGCACCAAACAGATGAATCCTGAAGTGTGTGCACGGAGGGTGCGGTAACAAATCACTCGGACTTTCCCCCTTCTGAGGGCTCCTGCTGACCCTCTGGGGGGCAGTCTGGAGTCACCGGGGGGCTGCAGTAGGTGGGACAGGGAACACTTATGGGAGTCAGATACTATGGATCTCAATGCTGACTCCACCCTCTACTAGTCATGTGACCTTGGACAAGTCACTTCACCTCCCCCACCTGGAAGCAGGAACTAGGGGACCAGCCCCTGGTGCACGGGGCTGAACGGGAGCCGTGAAGTAATGTCCCAACAGCACGTAACTCACAACGTCTCGTGCAAACGTCAAGCATCACTGTAACTGAACACAATCGGCTTGTCTTCCTCACTAACTGAGATACACGGCTTTTCTGGGGCTGGCTCATCTGCTTTATTGAAAAGCACGAGTGACTCTGGCTACACTGAGAAATGACCTTGGGCTGAGAACGTAAACACCCGTTCCTAACTCCACTGTGCATATGGCAGGGTAACAACTCGATGCACGTGAGGTCATGTGAGTACCCGCCTCCAGCAGAGGTGCACTCCCCATTGGCTGCCGAGCACATGGCTACTTACCACGGACGTTTCAAAGCACTCCAGGCCTTGGCCCAGCGCCCACGCCTGGGCCTGCGCCGCTTCCACCGAGCGCCTGCTGACCAGGTCTGTCTTGTTGCCCACCAGCACACCTGCTCAGAAGAAACAGCTGAAGCATGGCATTTAGCTGGCAGCCTGGGAGGCAGCCGGAGGGAAGAGAGCAAGCAGACAGACTTCAGGGAAAAGATCGCCTGCGAGGTGCCTGGCCTGAGGTGGTGAGCAAGACAGGGACCCTCTGATGTTGACCCTAAGGCCACCGCAGCGCGAGCTCTGCTTTTCCCACAGCTTCCGCTCGGCCCTTTTTCTAGACTCCCGTGGATCCATCTGCCTTGTCCCCTGCAGGCTGCAGTGCCCCGGCAGGCGCGGGCCGAATTGATGCGAGCATTTGCGATAGATTCCTAGCTCATGGAGCAAACTTTAAAAATGGTCATTAATACTAATCTACGGACTGGGCTCCGAGTCAGGGACTCGGAGGTAATTTAGTTCTGTCCCCAGCTGCAGCCGCCGCAGCTAATTTTTGAGCCTGTCTCTGGAGAGCGTTTTTCCTGGTCCGTAATGAGGAGGATTTGTTGATCTCACAGAAGGATGAAACATAAATTGATTTAAAGCATTCAGGAGTGACAGCAGGGCCTGCGTGTTTACTCGTGCCCCCCCTCACCCCTCCCCCCCACACCCAGGAGACAGCGCGTTCTTAACTGGGCTGGCTTTCCAGAAGCGACACCTCACCTTCCTGGCACAGCCCCTTCCCCTTTGCCGCTGGAGTCTCCCCAACCCTGCACGGTGGGTGTCATCGTGCCTGTTTACAGACTCGGAGGTGGGTGCGCCCTCAGGCGCAGAGCCCAGGGCACCCCTCTGTACACCCACAGCCAGGTCTGCACTGCCCTGTGCTCTGGGGTTCATTGTAAGCAAACCAGACGCCGCAGCTCCTACCTGGGAGGGAGGTGCCTGGCAGCTGGGCCCGCGCCTTCTCCAGCCACTTGCCGCAGTTGAGGAAGGACTGCTCATTGGTCACGTCGTAGACGAGGCACAGGACGTTGGGACTCTCCCACTGGGCAAGAGGGACAGGATGACATGTCAGTGGCGGAGAAAGTGACTTCTCGGCTGGCAGGTTTGGCCAGTTTTCTGGAAGGGACGTGTGGACGAAGGGAGATGACAAACTGTCCAGGGGATGTGAGTCAGACCACTGGGCCACAGAAGAAACCAGTTTGCTCAAAGGATGAACGGGAGGCGGGGCCCGAGGGCAGCTGGGGAGGGTGCGGTGGGGAGGGTGCAGCGATGAAGTCCAGGGTGTGAGTGTAATCAGTGCCAGGCTCTCCGCTGGGTGCTCTGAGGGGCCTGCTGTGCAGCCGCAGTGAGGGGACCGCCTTGCCCAGGTCAGATGTGCTGTCAGCGGGAGAGCGGGACTGCGGCTTCCCTCCACCGAGGCGCTTCGCCTGCCACTGGCCCCAGGGACTCGGATGGCTCATCCTGACGGAGGGCCCACTATTGTGCAGGCTGGCACACCTCTGCTCGGCACTGGGCGGTAGGGTGCCCTGCTCAGGCTGTGAGGCATGTGACTGTGGCCACACCCTGGTCCCTGGGGACCCCACCCAGCGCAGTGAAAGCCTGGGTTATTTCTGGGGTGTTGAGGACCACCCAGATTTAAGGGAGAATGCTTTTTCCTCCAGTCTTCCTTGGAAGGTCAGCCCAGAGTCTCTCTGGAGGGCTCACCTCCCTACCCCCAGGGCCTCCAGGGCGGCAGCCCTAAACCGATGATTCCCTCACACCTTCACTGCACAGACTAGCTCAGCCCCATCCCCATGAGCATGCAGGGGCACCTTCTTCCTCCAGGCCTCAGCCAGGGGCCCAGGGCAGCCCCAGGATGGAGCTGGAGCAGGGAGCTGGAGTCAGGGTGTGCACTGCTCGTGGCCCTGACTGCCAAGCACGTCCTCCCCCTGCCGGCGTCAGGCCATGCACACAGTAGGTCGGCATGTGGTGAGCATGAGCTGATGCGTGAAGCCAGTCCTGTGTGAACTCATCATCATTGGATCTGTTTTGCTAAGACAATAACCCCAAAGGGGACAGGAAACAGCTTCTATTAAAATGCAGCCGTTCTTGGGAAGGCAGGGAGGGCTCTGGGGAGCGGAACCCTTCTAATTAGCTGCTGGCCCAGATCGGCGGAGCCGCTGCCTGGGAAGGAACAGCAGGCTGGGCCTGAGAGGACGGCTGGGTGCGCTTGGGAGCCCTGGGCAGCGGGCCCACCCCAGCCCTGCCCAGCCCATGGGGCCAGGGTGTGGGCCTAGAAGGTGAGCCTCAGGGTGGGGCCTCTGGTGCCCCCCCTGCCCCCCCCCACTCCCCCGCTTGAGGACTGAGCCACACAGCTTGGGCGCAGTGGGGACCCAGCCCCTCAGAGCTGGGGGCTGGGGGGAAGCACGTGCAGGAGCCACCCTTGTTTGCCAGGCCACAGGGCCCAAGGCTGGAAGCGGTGCCCTTACAAAAAGACCACCATAGCTCCCCTCGGCAGCCAGAGTGCAGTGACGTTCTGGGAGAAGGGAGCAGGGGGGACCTTGGGCGGGAGGGGTGCTAGGAAGTAAAACCGCAGGCTACTTGCCAACTTATCCAGCATTTCCGAAAACAGCTCCTTGCCAGCGGAGTCAAAAATGAAGAGTTCCTAGAATCAGAAAGGCGCGTCCCAGGAGTGTCTACACGTGGACGGGGGTGGGGGTGGGGGGGGCGAGGAGGGGGCAATGGCTACAAGTGCTGACTTGGCTTCTGGGTGAGGTGCTCATACACATTCCCAGAGGCTGCACCGCCCCCACCCTGGGGCACAAGGAGGCCTGCGATGGGGAGAGGAACCACCTCCGGGCCCTGCGAGGCGGCCGTTTCCCACCCAGCTAGCGCTTTCCGCGCGGCTCACCTCCACTAACCCCGAGTGCAGAACTACCAGGAACAAGCTGCCCGCCCACCTGGCGGAACAGAATGCTAAGCAGGCTGACAAGTGCTCTGCCTTCCAAAGGTCATCCTGCACTTTGTTAACCAAATTGATTTTCAAATCTTAAAACCATCCTTCCTAAAGGAGGTCACCGAGTAGGCCCGGGAAGGCCCAGAAAGTAGGACAGCCTCGTCCCTCCGATGGCTCAGGTGCGGTTCTGAGGAGGACACGAGAGGACCCCTCCTGCCCCTGCCCAGACCTCAGCCAGCCTGTGGGAGACCCCCTCCCCAACGCTGTTGCCCAGAAAGCCCCCCTCAACTTCCCCCTTCAGCTCCCTCCTGGCTGGATTCGACCCCCCCCCCCCCCCCCCCCCGCATGCTGTCCATCTCAGAGCTGCCATCTGAGTCCCACTGTGGCCTGCGCACTTCCCACTGTGTCGGGGAGTTAAAATGGTTTGGCTCACGGGCCACTTTAAGAACCTGGTGACTCTTAAACCCCCTCCCCGGGAAGCACACGTGTACAAACAGCATCTTGCAATTCCACTTTAGGCGTGGATTCCCACAGGGGGAGGCAGGCTGAGAATCTTGAGAGGTCAGTTGGGAGGGCAAGGCCCCTATTTCAGTCTTACTTCCTCTCCCTCGAATGCTTTCCTGTCCGCAGTGCTGTCCCCAAACTCAATGGGTCTGGGACAAGGCCTCGCACCCCGTCTCTCAGACAGAGGACGACGGTGACCCGGGGCCCTGGGCCCAGCGCAGGGCACTGAGCTCCCTCGGGTCGAGGGCACTACTTACCACACTGTCCCCCGTGTCAGGAACTGGCAGCGTCTTCACCACCAAATCCACCCCGGTTGTCTGCCGAGGAAAACCAAGAACACGTGTGTCAGGGGCCCCAAGGGGCGCGTCCAGGCCACGAAAGCGCCGACGCCAGGAGACATCCCCCGCGGAAGTGCTTGTGCCCCGGACTCCCTGGCGGTGCGGAAGCCAGAGGACCACCCAGGAGGCTCGTCCCGCTCCCCGCCCAGAGCCGGCTGTGCGTGGCGACAGCACCACCGGCTGGGTTATCGCCCCGTGCCCGCGGCCTCGGCGTCTCACCAGGGTGTAGTTCTTCTGGAAGTGGGCCCCGTCGCTGCGGAAGATCTGCGCCAGGGCGGTCTTGCCCACGGCGGGGTCCCCTGTGCGGACAGAGCACACGGAGAGCATCTCTGCCACCCCGGCCCGAGCGCGGCCTCCCCCTCCACAACGCTGGCCCGGAAGCCCCAAACTTCACCGAGTTTTCGGAGAAAATGTGCTCCATTCTCCTGGGCACGCGCTCGGAGGTCGCGGGCAGGGCAGCGGGCCCATGAGACCAATCTCCCAAACCCACGCTGGCCAGTCACGGTTCTCCAAGGCTAACCCCTCGTCCAAAAGATCGGACCCAGGCGGCGGCGGCAGCTTCCGGAGGGCTGGGCACTGGGGACATACCCTATGGGGAGAACCTGACCCTTTCAACCCGGAATTCACTCTGAGTCTTGAAGCTAAGCAGGTGTGACCAGGCACAGACCGATAAGCCCAGCTGACTAAACCGATCTGAGTTTTAGGACCCTGAACCGTTGTTTTGTTGTGGGGGTGCGAGTTGAGAGTTTTTGCATTTATGAAAAACAAAACGATGCCACCTTGAAATCCTTTCCAGGTGATGCTGCCCTCCATTTGGCGTGCCCATCTCTGACCACTGGGGCCCATCTTCCCAGGGCCACGTCCATCTGCAACAGCCACTGGCTTCTCCAAGCTCGCCACCACCCATTGGGCTATCTCCCCGGCCTTCCTTGGTTGGTCGGAAACCTCACAAACCAGTTCCTCAAAACTCAAGGTTTATGTCCCAGTCTGTCCGAGCCCTGGACTTCTCATAAGAACGTTGGGGGCAGTTTAATCTGGAGTTCCTCCTGTGCCCCCAGAGTGAGGGTGGCAGGCCGTGCCCATCCTTAATGCCCTGTTTCCTCCCACTTTCCCACCCATGGCTCTGCCCGGCTCCTTTGGGGCCACGCTGTTTCCATTTGCAACACCTCCTCCCCCACCTGGAGTCTTACCCTGATTCCACCCCCTCCCAGGCCGCCTTTTCACGAGTCCCTGACTTGCATACTTTGATGCGATCTCTTTACATTCACTTCCTATTTACAGCAGTTTCGATGCTTTTCTTGATTTCCCCATAGCCTTACGCTGTTTACTTTCATTTAAAAAAAAAACAAAAAACAAAAACTTTAAATCATTTATTTCTCAATTCCAGTTGGCACACATCATCATATTGGTTTCAGTGATGAGACATTATATAACTTTCCAGGTGGTCACCCCCGAGAAACCTAATACCCATCTGGCACCAGACAGTTATCTGTTCGCTTCTCAGTTTGGACTTTTCTCACCTATAATTTTCTCTTGTGAGACAATGACTTGCCTGTTCATGGCATTTCATTTCATGTTAATTCCTCCAGTTTTGGGTGAGCTCTCCAGCTCTTGCTTTCCTATCTGCCACCACATCTTACAAGGAAACCAACGCAGGTGAGCCTCCCGGCTGTGCCCATTCATACTCTCAGCAGTGACCTCCCATCATTCACCTCCTGTGACTGATGAAGAGACAGAGGCCCAGACAGAGAGTCACGGCCCTCGGGTTCCAACACCGTGTTCTCTGGGCCAGATCCCCTCCTCTCCCCTCCTCCAGCTCAGGAGCCTTCTGACCATTTTTGACATGACCCCAGCCCCCATCACTCAGCCTTCCAGGACACGGGGCGACCCCAGGAGCTCACCACTCCCCCTGCCTTTGGGCCGCACCCACCCTCCCCGCTCCGTTCGGGCTTCTGAACCAGCTGGAAATGGGCTCCTCGGCTTGTGAAACTCCCCACAGATTTGCCGGGTTAATTTCATCTTTCTTTCTCCCGCCTGCCAGTCAGTCACCCGCACTCGGGCTGTGTCGGCTGAGGAGGGATCTGGGCACAGCGCGGAGAAAGAGCACCAAGGTGACAAGTGCAAATTCGAACCGCAGGAGCTGAGAACCCGGGTGTCGGGCACATCGAGGAAAGAGGGAGCGGTCTCATCAGTGGGCAGACTTCCCAGGGGCCGGCTGAGCCGGTGATGCCAGGGAGGGGCCCTCTTGGCGGAGCGGGTGACATCTGCAAAGGCACAACGCAGGGGTGTCCTCCGAATGGCCAAGCCCAAAGGTCTCTTCTCAGTCCTCCAGCTCCTGAGGCAGCCGCCTCCTTCCTGAGCCCTCTGGCCTGGTTGCCCTGGTGACCTGCACTGGCCTGGTTCTCCTGCCTCCCAGATGTGGGCACCCCGGGGTGCTATCCTTGGCCCTCTGTCCCCTTTACTCACTTCCCTGACTGCCCCTCCTGAGCAATGATGGGCCTTCACTCAGTCCCAGTTCATCTACTGTGAGGGTCAGGTTGTGTCTCACCCACCCCATCTCACCTGTTCTGTTAGTGATGTCACCACTCACTCTCACTGTCCCCAGACTCCACCAGTCACCTCTGACACCTCCTCCTCCCGTGCTCAAACCCTCCTCTTCATTCCAGCTACACGATTGTCACTGCCCACTGCCCCAGTTATCCCACACGGGGCTGGTGGCAGCCCTAACCCATCTATCCGGGTCCTGCCCTGTGATGCTGGGGCCGGGACAATGCGAACTCGGCTCTAGAGACAGATGGGGGTGGGGGTGGGGGGAAGGGACTGGCTCCTTGCATCCGCTTGTCATTTCTCTTTGCAGCAGCTGCCATGGCCTTCACCCCAGCAGCACTAGCTAGCTGCTGCCTCCAGGCTTATTACACCCCCTAGAGACACCAGGGGCCCCTCCTCAGAGGTGATCTCTCAGCTCCCCAGGGTATTCCTGAGATTTGAGGTCCCGAGGATCCCCTCTCCCCTGTTCCCCAGCCCTGGGGCGGGGCTCCTGCTGCCCTGCTGTCCCCTCTCATCGTCCAGGTCTCCATGATGGATTTATGTCCCCATGAAACCCTCGCACCGGGACAGAGAGCAGGTCTGCGCCTGCCTGGGCCCAGCAGCACTGTGGTACCAGGATGGTCTCAGGACACAGACCCCAGATGGTCTGAAACGGGCTGGGTCGTGTCCCGGCTGGTGGGCAGTGGGTCCGTGATCTGTGCCATGGATGGCCTGCCACGCTGGTGCCCGAATCCCCGAGGCACCACCGAGTGGGCAGCCTCCTCAGAGGTCTGCTCCTGCTCCGCGGGGTCCTGCTTCCAGCTCCCGGCAGCCCCGCCTCTCTCGACAGGTTCTGTGTCATCTCAGTGTTTTCCTCTTGTTTTTTTAGGGCTTCAGCACCTGCTGAACCAATTCTCTGTTGAAATGCCTAATGTGTTTTCTGTTTTCTTGGCTGGTCTTGCCTGAAAACACTTCCCAGCAGGCCTCTCTTCTCCCTGCTCCAGCCCACCCTGAGCTCAGCATCAGCGGATGGACCCTCATTGCATAACCTTCCACCCTGCTGCTCTCACACCAAGCCCGCCGAGGACCCCTCCCCCACACCCTCCTCTAGGTCAACCCCTGCCCCCTTCCAGTCGCCCTCCAACTCTCCCTTTCACAAAACCCTGGCCCTGCACTCTTATTCTCTCTGTGTGTAAATGCAGTAACTAATATATATGTTCCTTTTTTTAATGCAGGAACATTGTTAATGACATTATGCAAGCTTCAGGTGTACACTATCATTCGGTATCTGTATACTTGTTCTCTTGCTCTCTGAAAATCCTTCGAATACAACTTGCCAGAATACTACCTGCCAGGTCTCCCCAATCCAAGTCCAAATCCTGCCCATTCTCTGCCAGGCCAAGCTCATTGTCCTTCCTGCACAGCCCCCGAAGGTCACCTCTCCGGCCTTTGTCCGAATCTGTGCGGCTAATGTGCTCACTGCTGCTAGCAGGAGACCTGATGTCAGAACTACCCTGTTTCCCCGAAAATAAGACAGTGTCTTATATTAATTTTTTCTCCCAAAGTTGCGCTAGGTCTTATTTTCAGGGGATGTCTTATCTCTCCATGCGCTAGGTCTTATTTTCGAAGGATGTCTTATTTTCGGGGAAACACGGTATTATCATCCCTACTCCCTCCAACTCCATTATTACCAGCTATGTGTCCGTGGGGCAGCAATCTCTCTGGGCCTCGGTTGTACCATCAGCAAAATGGGCATAACAGAACCCATTTCACAGAATTGTTGTGAGGATTGAATGAGTTAATATGTACAGTGCCTGGTGTATGTTGAATAACAGTTAAGTGATTTTTAAAGTAAATAACATGGAGATAAAAATCAAGTGCTGTTTTCCCTCCTGAGCTGAGCCAGCACAATAGCAGATGTGCTTGAGGAATCACTCCATTCCCTTCTGAGTGCCACACTGCAAGGTATCATGTGCACAGCAGCGCTTCCTGGAGTGTAGGGGCTGTCCTGGCTCACCCTTGTATTCCCACCACACCTTGATGGTGACTTACATGTAGTAGGTGCTCAATAAAAATCTGTTGAATGAATAAGCACTTAAATTGTGAGATTAAAAACCCCCAGCAGATTCACTCAATTGAAACAGTAGGCCTGTGGGGGTAAAGCAAAGGAAAACTGAGAGGGGCATGTGTGAGGTGGGGTGGGGTGGAGCTGACTCGCTGTACTGAGGACTCTGGTTCCAGAAACTTCCAAGAGGAGATACCCTGGAGGCTTTGAAAGGGGGCTGCAGAGTGAGAGCAAGGTTAGAGTTTAGGAATCTCTCAGCAGTGGTTGAAATCAGGTGAAACAGTACCTGAGGGAGGAGGTGTAAAGAAGAATAAAGCGCCTAGGATCTAGACCTGAAGAAAGTACAGCTCAGCCACATCCAGCTGTGTGACCCACGGCAAGTGTCTTAACCTCTCTGGGCCTGGGCCGCCCCATCTGTAAATGACGATGACAAACAATACTGACCCCACAGAGTGGGGTGAGGACTGAACCGACTGCGGTGAGGTCTAGCACAATGCTGGCACCTGGGAAATGCTCCGTACATGAGCTCCCTGGTAGAAGTTGAATGAAAAAGAAAAAAAACAGTCAGGAGAAAAAAAAGAGAGAGAGAGAGAGAGAGAGAGAGAGAGAGAGAGAGAGAGAGGAAAAAACAGAGAGAGAAGCCCATTTAAAAAAAAAAATCTAACTTCAGAAAATAAAAACATTCCCACCACATCCATGAGGAAACTGAGGCTCAGAGAAGTGCTTTTTCCCAGCGGACTCAGCCAATGGAGGCACAGCCAGAATTATTTCTGTTGCTCAATGCTGCCTCTCCTGGCGCTCTGGAAACCCAGACCACTCTGGAGAACCATCCATTTCTTTTAGCTTCAGTGTGATTTGAGGTACTGCTGTCCGTCATCTTTGTGTGGGACCCTTTTATTTCCAAATCAGAAAAGTCATCAAAGATATCATCTCTTTCAGTGTGCAAGGGATGAACCAAAGGAGATAAAAAGGAATCTTTTTCCTCTTTATAATTCCTCAATGCTGCTCTCCTGAGCTGCTCAAGGAACCTTGGGAAGAGGCCGCAGGTTTAAGAGTAACAGGGTAAGAGTTTTGGAGGTGGGCAGGTCTCCTCGGACCCCCCTTCACTAGGGGTGACCTTGCCTTAGTGCCTCAGGAAGGTTAGAACAATCCAGCCCCGACCCCAGGGTGCCACCGTGAGGGTGAAATGAAACACATGTGCCAGACAGGCAGTGAGGACTCAGGAAAGCACACGTGTGTTCTGTGGCCCCAGGTCTAGAATCCTGGCAAATGTTTTTCTGAACGTCCAGCCTGATCCAAGGAGAGCACCACCAATGGGGGCGCCACATTGTCATTCGTTCCACAAATAGTCACTGAGGACCTCCCAGGTTCCAGATGTTGTTCAGGGTGCTTGGGATGCATCAGGCAACAAAACAAAATATTCATTCCTTTGGGGGATTCAGCACGTATGTCCCCCTGAGCGTGGAGTGGCACAGGAATTTTAAAGACAACACACATGCGCTTTTTGCAAACTCTGGTCAACGGTACACTACCGTCTCTAATCCCTGTTATCAGAGGGGGTGGGGTCAGGAAAAGATCCCACGAGAAACGACCACCAACGTCACTGATGCCTAACTTGGGGGTACAGCACGTGGGTTAGCTGGTATGCTTAGCCTGATGTTTAAGGAATCTTTGCCGCCTCCGTAAAGCTCAAACTGGTGAGGGTGGTCTCAGAGTATGAGGGGGACGGAAACCAGCCGGAGGTGCCATGTGCCCTGGAAGAGAATTCTACCAGGCTAATGGGATTTACCCTATCATCAACTGGGAGAGAGAAAGGGAAAGGGGGCGGGCAGTTTACGTGAACAAAAGCTCTCGATAACTTCTGAGGTCTCTGGACTCCGGATATTGTAAATGTCAGACTCACCTGCCAGAATGCATTTGGCTGCCAGCTTCACCATGGTAACCAACCACCTCCACGGCCCAGGCCGGGTTAGAGGGGAGACTGGAGGCGTTGGGGCCTGCGGCCGCGGTGGAAACGGGAAAGTTGGGCTGCACAGGGAGGGGCGGCTATCGGCGCTGGGGTCGGGGCGGGGGCGCACGGGAGCTCCAGGGGACCCGCTCAAGGCCTCAGCAGGCCGCCTGGAAGGTGCCAGCGAGGTAGCACGGAACCCATTCCCGGCCCGGGCCCCGCCGGATGGGGACCATCAGGAAGAGCGAACCCGCAATTCTGGGCGCTAAGCACCGCGCCGGACGCGCTGGCCTGGCAACCGCCTGCCCCGCCTCCTCCGCTTTCCCGCTGGCCCTCGATTGGCTGCCACCAAAAACTTCCACCCCGAAGGATTTCTGAGACCAATGGGAGGAGGGGGCGGGACTAAAAGAGCTTTCTTGCAAGACAATTCGTAGTAGTATCTGCTCGTCACGCTTATCTCGCTTGACGAATGGTTGTGGGAGATGTCAATCATCTTATCTCCGCCACGCAGCCGGAAAGTTCTCGGGAAAGCAGCTCCGACGTCTTGCGGCGGGGGCTGGGATAAAAGCAGCTTTCTGATTGGCGGAGACGGTGACTCGGTCCATCTTCTGTAGGAACAGGGGGTCTCCGTGTCCCCTGCCCTCCCGGATGTGGACTCGCCCGCCGAGGCTCCGCGGAGAGCGCGGGAGGCTGGAGCAGCGCCTGCGCAGTAGACGAAGCCCTGGTTGCTGAAGCGGAGCTTATTAGGGCGAGTTTGATACCCCGGGGGCTCTCGTCGCTCCCCAAGTTCCTGGGTTCCCGGAGCGCGGCCGCGAGGTGCATCTAGAAATCCAGTCCTTGCTCCGCATCCTTCGGGGAAATCTTATTTTAAAGCCCAAGGATGATATGCGCTTTAAACTCCAAAATATGGAAGTGTTTAGAGTGGCATCAGTGAATTTTGATTTGGGGGGAGGAGGGAGCAGTGATTACATTGGGGAATTTGAAGTACCTTTCTCTGAGCCCATTTATGCTGTGTAAAATGAAGAACGTCTCACACCGCATATTGAGTGGAAGCGAGCATCCAGGACACTGTGGTCACTTAGGGAGGTCCCACCTGCTCCGGTTAGGAAACCCAAACGGAAGTCACTGCCATCTTCCCTGAGCCTCTTTCCTCATCTTTAAAGCCGGGCTGGCGGAACCCCTTCATGGGGTTATCCTGAGGCTTACAAGAGAAAGCAGGTGCCTGTCTGGCACATAGTAGGTGCTCAACACTCAACAGTTGAAGGGATGGGGAGGGAGAAATGTATCTGGGTGGATTTGGTTTATCATGGTCACACAGGTTAGCCAGACGCACCCTGTTCTCATTCCTGCTTCCAGATCCATGTGGCTGAGCCAAAAGGGAGGAGCAGCCTCAGGGGAGATGCTGGTGTTCAGGAACTGCGGTCACAGGCCTTTCAGTTACTTGACGTTTTGCTCTCTCTCAGCTACTCTGTCTCAGGGCAGCCACTAACCTTGTGCAGAGGAATAAACACCCCCCCTACAAATCCCCCCTACAAATGGCTGTGAAGCTTTCAGCCCTGAATCTGCAGGAAAACAATGCAAATTGTCTGAAATTTTCTCTTTTTGGGAAGCATTCCTGGTGTTCTGGTTAAAATCCGTCTCTTCTTCATTCTACTTACCTACTTGTTTCTTGGGAGACCTCATGTGCATCTGTCCCAGACACCCCAGGCCTTCCTGCCTCCCCCCTCCTGTTCACTGTGACCCCATTAGTCCCGAAAAGGACCCCTTGAGTGTGTCAGCCCTCTGAGGCAGCTCCATGGAGCGGAGACACTGAGCTACATCTGGAGCCTCAGTGTCCTCCTGTGAGGGGGGTAATAGCACCTCCAGGTGGGCTGCACTCCTCTGCACCACACCCACTCTTTACCTTTCATGGCTGCTACTTTGTGACTTTAGTCAGCACCATCATGAGAGCATTCTGGATCATTCCAGGGAGATGGTAAACCCGGTATATTGAATTCTTCCCTCATCCCAAGGGCCTTCTGTACATTCTCGGTAACTAAGTGACAGCTGCATGACAAGAGTCATTGGCTTGAGTTTGGAACCACAAAAGGTGTTGAGAAATTCTAATCTAACCCTCTCTGAGCAGCTATACCAGTGAGAGCCGGCACGTGTTCAGCACCTGCTAAATGCTGGCCCCATTGTAAGTGCTTTAAAGGATTAATTCATTTAAAACTCACATCCATACTTGATAGTTACAATAATCTGCTCTTATCCCCAGTTGGTAAATGGGGGAATTGAGGCTCAAATGAGGTTAAGTCAAATGCCCAGGTCACAGCTACTGAATGGCAGAACTGGGCATTGAGCACAGGTAGTCTAGCACCCTCTGACCCCAACAGGGTCCCCCTGTGGATGGAGTTCCTCGCAGTAATAGTTCATGCTGATCGAGCGTTATATGCCAGGCATGTGCTAAGCTCCTCACATCCTCTCTCTTGTTTGATGCAATGACCCCGGGAAGTGAAAACTATTATTACTTCAATTTAACAGGCAAGGAAACTGAGGTCCAGAGAGAGCCCAAGGTCATGCAGCAAGCCGGCGAGAATCAGAACCAGCCTCGGGTCTAATAATGCCCTTAGAATTGCTGTGTTTCTTGAATCACCTAGAGTATTCTTTACAGTTTCATTAATAAGCTCGTCTTGAGTGCCTACCCTGGACCAGCCGCTGTGCCGGCTGCTAGGGCCACCACAGCGAGGTGACAGAACCGCAGAGGCTCTGGCAGATCACGGCCCTGGGAAAGTGCCAACCCCGACTTCCATCGTGGAGCCCAGAATCTGGATTTTTGTGTGAAATCCCCCCAACTCTCAAATTTTGGTAATGAACTTAAATTAAAGCACCAGAACCATAAGAGAAAACCTCTGTTGCCTGGTTCAACCTTGGGGGTGGGACGGGGGGAGAGGACTGTGTGGCTGTGACCTCTAGGCAAGAAGGGAAGCCAATTGTAGGAACTAATCCTGTGACGTGAGTGGATACAGAACCCCAAGGAGCAGCCTGACCCTGAGAGGTGGAAGGGCGCTGGGAAGGAGATGCTGGAAGGGAGCCCTGCTGCGTGGGTGGGGATTTGTGAGGTGGACAGAGAGGAAAGGACATCCTGAGCAGGTGGAACAGCATGTGCGAAGGCTTGGAGCTGCGGGGGTAGTGCCTTGAGCATTTGTAGAATGACACGTGTTTCTCTTTGCTTGGGTGGGAGATTGGTGAGAAATAGGTCTGGCCCAAGCCCCTGCGTGGAGCCACAAAGCTGCTCCTCAGAATTCCTTATTTGAGGAATTCATCCGACAGATATTTTATTGAGTGCTTACTGAGCACCACGGACAGAACTGTCATCTGTTCTCGGGCTCCTCCAGCCCTGGAGGGAGGCAGATAAGCAACAATGACCGGAGACGGCTGTGTGAGTGCTGAGCGGGGAAGGACCTACTGCATGGAGACCAAACACCCTGCGCTGTAGCCCCCGGACCAGCGGCCTCAGCATCACACAGGGACTTGTTAGACATGCACATTCTCAGGCCCCGCCCCAGGACACTAAACACGGGGGAGGGAGGTTGGAGGGTGAGGACCACAGTCTGTGCTCTCCTAAACCTTCCTGGAGATGCTGACGCATGCTCATGTGTAAGAGCCACTGCTGTGAGGTCATGCCAGGACCCACCTTGATCCACTTGCTCTGCCAGCTTTCCTGTATCTCAGGCTCCCCAGCCTCCTCCTACCTCAGGGCCTTTGCACTTGCTGTTGTCAACATGGCTGCATGACCCTTTCCCTCACGACCTTCTGATCTCTGTCCCAGTGCCATCTCCTCGGAGAGGCCTCCCAGCACTCGATTTAAAGAGTGCCCCAGTCTGTCCATCTCAATCCCCTCATCTTACTTTCTTCATAGCGCCCACTACTACCTGATATTATATGCCCCAGTATCTGTTTATGTGTATAGTATCTGTCTCCCTCCACTACAAGGTTAGCTTCATGAAAATGAAGCTTTCTTTTGTCCTCCAGCATCTAGGACAGTGCCCAGCATGGTGAGACACTCAGTAAATTTGTTTGAATGAAGGAATGACATCTCCTAGTGTTTACCTTTCTGAGTTCATTCATTCATAAGCACCGATTCTTGAGCACCAGCTCTTGTGTAGGTAAGGAGCTTCGTGGGGGAAGGGGTACCATGGCCATTCAGGTAGGAGCTGCCTGATGTTTGGGCCCTCCACCCGCCTCCTCCTCGGCACAGCCAGCTCCACACTCACACAACCTCCAGACCTGTGGGCTCCGAGGAGGAGGACTTACCAGCACTGCTCCCCACAGCCAGGGCCTGGACTGCTGGGCTGGTTAGGAAGTACGGGCTTTGAGTGAGAAGGAAGTGAAAGGCAGCTGTTGACAAGCTATTCCAGGGACCGTTCAGTCATCCTGGGGTTGAACGCTTCCCAACAGCCATGACAAGCAGCGGGCGTCTGCGCAGTGGCTCGGTGCCATGGGCAGCCGTAATATTCCCCGCCTGGGCCCAGGGTGCCCGCTGCAGGCACAGGCCTCCACCACTGCCCCAGGGCTTCTCCTCTGCCCGTGCTGCTCCTCAGAGCCCCGTCACTATGGAGGGCACAGGCATGTTTGTTGGACGCGACACAATCCCTCCAGGTAAATGAGAGGCTTTCGGGGAAATTAGTGGGAGAGGATCTGGGCGTGAATCTTCAAGAAGATTACCTCTCACACATTAGGTCAATTTTGCCCTAATGCCCTCATGTCAGAGGGCGATGCAAAAGAGGGGGCGACTTCCTCTTTTGATCCATCGGAATTTTAGTATTTAGATCAGGGTTTCCTGGCACAACTGACACTTTGGCTGAGATAATTCTCTGGTGTGTGTGTTGCGCGCGGGGGGGTGGGGGGGGTGGGGGGGGTTGTCTTGTGCCTTCCAGGATGTTCAGCAGCATCTCGGGCCTCTACTCACTAGATGCCAGAACCATCTCCCTCGTTTTGACAAACAAA